TGGTATATGAGACCTATCCAGAATATTGTTATAATTGCCATCACCCGTTCGATTGCAAGGTGCTCAACCCGCATTTGGCAACCAACAAGGTTGCCGTGACTAATGGCAAGGGGGTTGAAGCTGCGGCTTTAGTCAAAGGGAAGAAGGCCACAGCCTTGGATAAAGGGAAGGGCATTACCGAAGTTGAACCTCCTTTTAAGGAAGTGATCCGAAAGAAGGGAAAGGCCAAGGTCAAGCCACTAGATGTAAACGATGTTGCTTCAACGTCTATTGCAAATGGGCCTCAACCTAGGCCGGCGGTGACTAATAATGGGATCAATATTCCAAAGAATCTACTCACTCCATCTTTGGGTGTAAAGCCGAGCCCAGGTGTGAAATTCTCAAAGGATCACCATGACCTTATGGTGATTGCAAAGGATAAGGATGGAAAGAGGTGTTGGAGAGGATGCCGCAAGGCTTTGTTATTAGAAGCGTGTACGAGATGGGATCCAAGGACATTGTTACCAGTATCTTTATGGACGAAAAGAAAAGACCCCTATTTTTACGTGTACTAGATGTGTTTGTCATTTTACTCAAACCCCTTTTTTTGCTATGTTTGTTTATCCGTTGTATACGGTGCTTGAGAGGAAGGCACTTTGGGATCATTTGACCTTGGTTGGAGACCAATCGGTTGAATTGCCAATGGTGTGTGGCGATTTTAATTGCATTTCTGCGCCTAATGAAAGGGTGGGTCCTACCCCCCTACGACGTTTGTAATGCAACATCTATTTGATTTCAAAGTCTCAAATAGCCTTGAAGATGCACCCTCCACGAGGGAGTTCTTTACATGGAACAAATGTGCACTTTGGGCTAAACTCGACTGTGTATTAATTAATGATGAATGCGGACTTAATGGCATCAGATGTAGGGTCCATTTCCACGAAATGGAGGTAGAGTTTGACCATACGGTCTCCGTTGTGTCAATACTCCTAAACTCCTCTTCTAGACCTAAGCCGTTTAAATTTTTTAACATGTGGTTAAAACATTCGGATTTTGCCAATATTTTAGCTATAAATTGGAACCGGAATTATGTTGGAACGGTTCAATTTACCTTGGTAAGGAAACTAAAGGGGCTCAAAAGGCCCCTAAAGTTGCTTAATACCACGGAATTTAGCCACATCTCCAACAAAGCAAAGATGGCAAAGGAGGAGTTTAAGCGATTGCATAAGTTGGCGCTTCAAGATCCACGGGATCTAGAGCTTAAGGCCCAATTGTCCGAAGCTTCAAAGAGGGCCATTTTTCTTGGGGAAGCCGAAGCAACCTTTTTTCAACAAAGGGCTAAGACTACGCATATTCTCGAAGCGGACAAGTGCACTAAATATTTTCATGCAATCGTAAAAAGGAATTTGGCAAGGAATACTATCTCTTCACTTACCTTGGAGGACGGTACGCTTACTACCTCTTTGGATCAAGTTGGAAATGAATTTACCATAAATATGTTCAATTTATTTACCGTAATGACCATGAAAACATATTTATAGTAACTTTAGTCACATTTTTATCCATAAATTTTATTTCATAACATTTTTAGAACACCTAAATTACTTATTTTTATGCATCTTAAACAAAATATTACGATAATTGTCTTCTTTGGATTTGAATTCTTGGTGATTTTGGAGACTAATTGATAGATTATATATCTAGAGAGAAGTGAGAGCTAGAGAGAGAAGTGCAAGTAAATGCTTCAATAGAATGATTTTTGTAACCCCTACAACTACCTCCAGAGGAAGTATTTATAGGAAAAATATGGGCTGGGCTCCCAAGCCTTGAGGGGTTCGTCATGTTGCTGCTTGACGGAGAGGAGATGGGTGAAATACTTCTTCGCACGCTTCCTCTCGACAAAGTGGGTGAGGAAGCGCTGGGCAAGGTCCTGCCATGAGTCAATACTTCCTTCGGGAAGCGCGTTGAACCACTCGTACGCCGGCCCCTCAAGAGCGGAGAGGAACCAACGGCAGAGGTATTCATCCGACGCGTTCACCATCAGCATGTTGTCCTGATAGCGGCTGAAATGCTCCTGAGGGTCTGATCGGCCGTCGTAGGACTTGATGGCGTTTCCCCTGTACTTCTCCGGGATGGGGGCCGAGAGCACCTTGTTAGTGAAAGGGGTCCTGGTCCTGACCTGGATGACGGGGTCACCTCGTCCTTCGGCCAACTCCCTCTCAAGGGCGCTGACCTTGTTCATGAGAGCGTTGAGGCCAGGATCGTTGGAGGCGCCGGCTGTGGGGATGTTTGCCGATTGCCTGGCCTCCATCTGGGCCAGCCTCCTTTCCAGCTGGGCGATGACCTCGTCCCGGGGATCCCTGACGGCTGTAGCGGCGCCCTGTTGGTTCTTCATGCGCTCGTCGTGGGTCGCATTGATCTGGTGGCGCACGTCGTCCTCGTGCAACTTTCCCTTGCCCTGGTCCGCTGTCTGGGACACAGACCCCAAGCTTTCTCTTGGCGAGCCAGGCCGACGCTCACCAATCCGCCCTGCCATCCTCTCCGAAACCGGACGACGACGCGTGTCACCTAGCCTATTGAAGGCGGAGGCTTTTCCACGCGCTGGGGTCTGCCCGGGCCGAAGAGGGGAAGCAGGGTGGGAGTGGGACGACGCCGTGTCCTGGGCTATCACCCCCTCATCGTTGCCTAACCTGGTGGCCAACGGTTGGGGCTGAGGAGGTGGAGTGACGTTCCCCACAGTCCTTGGCAAGAGTGCGCTGAGGACGGTGGGGTTCTCAGCCAAGCTGGCGATGATGACCGACAACGCGGCCTGAACTTGTGGATCCACAGACGGAGAAGCCGCGGCCATAGGCTGGGCCGGGGCGTGGTCCGTCTTCTCTGCGCGTTTCTTGTTTAGGCCGATGCGGGCATCAGGGCCGCCGCCGTTGAGCTGGTTGCGTAGGTCCGTTGTGAGGTTGATGGCCTCCTGGAAGACGTCCCCTCCGCCGACCTGGTCGGCCGTGGCATCCTCCTCATGCTCCCTGGTCTCCTGATCCTCAGGGATGGCCTTGCTGACGAGGTTGCGGTTTGACTTGGTTCTTCCCATGATCAGTTGTTAGCAGTGTTTGGTAGCGACGAAGGGTGCTAACTTGATTGTTCTAGCTCTCAACGAGAGCACCAAATGATAGAGTATCTATCTAGAGAGAAGTGAGAGCTAGAGAGAGAAGTGCAAGTAAATGCTTCAATAGAATGATTTTTGTAACCCCTACAACTACCTCCAGAGGAAGTATTTATAGGAAAAATACGGGCTGGGCTCCCAAGCCTTGGGCTGGGCTCCCAAGCCTTGGGCTTGGGAGGCCCATTTACAACTGGACCGCTATTGGGCCGAATACAAAGTAAATGATGGGATATATAAATGAATAAGTGTAAAATCTAGTTCTGTGAAGCTTCCGTGACCGACGAGTGTCTGGCCGACGAGGGCACGGCCGATGAGGGCACGGGCCGATGAGGACACCCTGGTTCCCTGGCTTCAGGATCATATTCTGAGTCTGTTCTTCTTCGGCCGAAGAGGGTCCTTTGGACGACGAGGGCACTGCGTAGTGGCTTGTGCTTTCTGTTCTTCTGAGTATGTGGGTCCTGGGCCTAGACCCATATACTCCATCACTAATATTTGTGATTTTTATTAATTTTATTTGCGGTTTGTACTTTTTATTAATTTTATTTGAAAATAGATTTTAAAATATAAAACAAAAATGAGTGATTTCTCATTCGGGCTTTAACCGACCCTACCCGAACCCGGGCTACAAAAAACCCGACTCGGACCGAATATAGTGGGCTTTTTTCGGTCCCTAGTTTTCATAACCCGATGCCTTACGGGTAATTTCCGGGTTTAGCAAAAACCCGACCTGGACCGGATCGATCTCACCCCTAGGTAAAAGTGTGTGGGACTTCGTCCCACACAGTCGGGATTCAAATTTCATGAAGAGTTTGGCATCAATAAGGGATAGAATTAAGGGGCTTTTTAATAACCAAAATGATACCATAATGGGTTTAGCCTCTAGATCCATTAACGGCAAGTTGATTTCAAGAAAAGTATATGAATTATTGAGAACAAAAGGGACGGTTAGGGTGTGGATGAGCTTTATTTGGAAATCATATATCCCTCCCAAGTTCTCTTTTAATGTTTGGCTTGCTTTCCGTAATAGGTTACCTACCCAGGATAACCTTAAATACTTACATATTGTGAATATATGTGATCTTTGCAAGGGTGGCTTGGAAACAATGCCACACCTTTTCTTTGCTTGCCCTTTCACTTATAGGATATGGGAGCAAATCAAGAATTGGCTAAGAATGACGCATCAAATGACTACGATGTCTAGCTCGGTCAAATGGATCTTGAAGGAGCATAAGGGTTCAAAGTTGAAGGGAAAAGCGGTCCAGGCTGCCTTTTGCGCTACAATTTATCACATTTGGCATGCTAGGAACGCTAACCGATTTGATGATGCAAACAAGAGTGAAGAAGAAATTGTTGCAAAAATTAAACACGTGGTATATAGGATACTTTTCAATATATACCCATGCGAGATGATCAAATTTTGATGGATGGCTCTCGACTACAAATTCTGAAGCCGCGTCATGATGTTTTGGGGATTAACGTGGATGCAACTTGCATCACACATTTGGGTTTTGATGTTTTGAGTTAAGGGAGTATGTGTTATAACCTCCTTTAACTATAGTCTGATTTTTTGGACTTGGTGTGATCTGTGTGTGTGCTTTTTGCAGCACAGATTTGTTTTTGTGTGATTGTGGCATTTAGTATTGTATACTTAGGCCCCGTTTGATTTTGACTTTGGATTAGATCGAATAAAAACCTCTCCTAACCCCTACACTAGGTAGGGGTTTTAGGAGATCTATAACCTTTTGATGTATAGTTTTTCTTTGGGTGTTAATACAAATTTACATTTCATCCAAAAAAAGAGATCTGGTAAAATGTTCCCGAGCTGTAGCAAATGCATGGCTAATGGTCTGCTCTGAAAAAGGCGCTCCAGAATCCAAGACATTAGTTGCAACTTTTCCAACAATAACATTTGCATCGGTCTCAAGAATAATTCCGCATTCAACAATTTCATCCAGACACAGAAGAATAAGATCCAAATTCTCAAGTGCCTCACTCCTCTCTACATTTCCCCTAAGAAGAACCCCAACCGCATCAAAGAATCCTTGGAGGACTGTGGACAGGATAACATCATTTTCATCTTCACTTCCAGTAACAAAGAAATGAAGATCTTGGGTAAACTTGAAAACAACAATGTAATTCTCAAGCATAGTTATCTCCACTTCTGTCCTTGCATTGATCTTCTGAGTTTTGGCAAATATGGCCTTCTCATAAGCTTCTTTGGCTATATTTGTTGGCCAGTCATCTGAATAGTACTTGACCGCAACACGCTTTCCTTCAGAATCTAGAACTAGGACATTCTTAACTGCCAGGAACCTATCCATTGGAACCGAGCACGAGAGTTGCTGCTGAAAGATCTCCTTTGCCCCAGACAACTGTATTTGTGACACTCATATCATGCTGTGTATTCTTCCATTTAGAGCGTATTATAACTCGTTGGAAAGATAATTTGGAGCTCTAAAGCTATTGTTCCAACTTCATTTACAATACATTAATTAAAAGTTAAAGATTAACCATATATTCACAAATGTTTCTGATTTCACTCCGAACTCATGTAGAATTTGATGTGATCATATCTTGCTCTATTTTGTTGAGTTCAAAACATCACCATTGCTTTGGTAAATATTTTTCACCAAGGACCAGAAACCCATTTTCCTCGCAAAAAAAACCCACAAAAAAGAGATAAGATGTCTTGAAAGAGATTAAGAGCCCGTTTGGTAACACTAAAATTTATGAATTTTAGCTGAAGTGTCTGAGTGGATGATTCTGCTGATTTATGAAAAAAAAAATATTTAAAATATATTTTATTAATAAAATAAAGAAAAAATTATATGAGAAATTGCTAAAATGATCATCTACAGTAACTTTAGCCAATACATCCAGAAAAGTAATTTCAGCGTTACTTTTTGATATTGTTACACAATTCTGTGCGTGAAATCAAAAGTTTCGTGTTAGGTTAAAAAGCTGGCTGATAAGCCTGAGAAGTCGAAAAAAACAGAGTCACCAAACGGGCTCCAAATGTCTTGAAAAGGAAGTGTGAAGATGTGTTGTATTTATAGGAGGATTGTGCTTCTGGTAAATTAATGGACATCAACACTACAAGTACTTAATACCCCTTACTTTTTTGTGCCCCTAATTTTGCCTGTAATATGTCTCTGTGATCATTCAAGCAATCCAACGATGATGAGTCTCAGTTTTGTAATAAAGTTTTGACTCTACACCGATATGGTCCAATTTGATTGTGATGTATACGACCCATGCCTTTTGTCCAACCGTTCTCACCACTCCGTTTTCTTCTCTGCGCGATTCTTGTTGGGTGTGTCTCGGAAAAGCAAAGAAATATTAATTAAAACTAATTAATTAATTAATTAGCCAAAGAAAAACAGAAAAAGAGAAGGGACAAAGTTTAGCCAGAGCTCGTGCTATGCACGATGTCCTTAAAACGTATTTGTTGCCTCCCACGGTGCTAGGAGCATTGCAACGACCGTTTCCCAGGATACAGTGGCTAACGAACTAACGTTTGAGCACACAAACGAATGTTCAAGCGAACGGGAACAAAAGCAGAACACTTAGGAAATTTTCGGAATGCTGGAGGTGTTTTAGAGCTTAAAATACGTGTTAACTGTGTATGATTGCATGTGTTGTTGCAAAGCACCTGCCAACTATTTATAGGAGGATTTGTTGTATGTTAAATGGAGTGTTAATGGACTTGAACGTTGGACATCAATAACCAGTCCGTTGGGCATTGAATCGTCCATGAAATGTCCATTTAACGCTACATTAAAAGATAAGAACGTTGGGCATTTATTGTTGTAACGGACCAGAATACGTTGAGCACTTCTGGTGCGAACATCAGAGTTGGAGCACTTCTGATGCGACCAAAAGATCCCCACCAGAAGACCTCGAGGTGTTCTGGTCTGAAGTCACCTGAAGACCTCAAGGTCTTCTAGTCCGGAGTAGTTCTGCCGCTGAACAATTCTGATTCTGAAAAAAAAACGTTATGGGAAGAAACAAAAATTAAATCGTATCTTTGAATGATAAATTTTCGGACCACATTCGTGTCCGCAGGACGCTCGCGCACACGAGTCACGATTTTCCTTCTTCATTTTCGGGGTTTGATCGACACCCCCCTGCGCGCGAAGAGAGCCTGTCCCCGTAGGAATCTTAACTCCTTCAAGGTGGGTTCCCTTTATAAAGGGGTGAAAATCCCTTGGGTTTTTCGGTGTGGGATAAATCCCACTAGAAAACTCATTCTTTTCCCAGTTTTTTCATTTTAACGAGTGAACTTCGAGAATCAATTTATCATTCACCCGTTATCCGTTTTGAGTGTACCATGTATCAAATTGTAGCCCTTAGCAAGGACAATCCGAAACCACTTTGACCCGACCCAAATCGGAAGTGGATCCCACTCAAAAAATTGCTCCAAAATGACCATTTAATACAATTTATTAACAGTTTTTCCAACAATCCCCCACATGAATGAAAATTGATTTTCGAGGCTTAAAAAGACACGAAGATAGGAGGACACGTTGTGTTCACCGGATGATCCCTGCATATGGAGAGGTAGGTTTTATCCTTTGAACCTTCCGCTATAAAGACATGTTTATTTACTGGTTGTCTAGTAGACTCAATGTCCTTGAACTATACTACCGTCGTGTAAACATTGACTTATCTTTACACAAGAACCTTCCAACTTTGTTCCGTTCTCATGGGTGTGCCCGTTTTGGCCATGGGTCACCGTCCTGGTTCTGCAAGAGTTTCTAAAGAATTGAGCCTATACAGTTCTCCTTTGAAGCGGCCCTCTTCTCTCTCACATAGGTGATTCTTTCACGAGTATCTTGCATACTCTTCCAATGTTATCGAGTAGATCAACATTTCAGAATCATTAAAGCAAAAGTTTTTGCTAACCTCATGCGGGAGTCACTGTTTCAACGAGGAGTGGGTAAGAGTCCGGGACCCCCACAGTGACCATCCTTTGCTCTATAATTTAGTTGCCCCTTTTGAACTTAGGACCAACTAGGTTGGGTATCCACTATAGAACTTTTCTATTCACGGGCTTTAGTCCCATTCCTCGTGATAACTTCTCCAACAATTTTATATCCAATGCCTTGATTAGCGGATCCGCTATGTTATCCTTTGACTTCACGCAGTCAACAGTGATAACCCCCGTTGTGAGGAGTTGTTTAATGGTGTTATGTCTACGACAAACGTGTCTAGACTTACCATTATACATGTTGCTATGTACCCTTACAATTGTCGCTTGACAATCGCAATGTATGCATATTGGAGGGATAGGTTTTCCCCAGCTTGGAATATCCTCGAGAAAATGGCGTAGCCATTCAGCCTCTTCAGTGCACTTATCTAAGGCTATTAGCTCAGATTTGATCGTGGATCTAGCTATTATCGTTTGTTTCGAGGATTTCCATGACACAACTGCACCTCCCAAAGTGAAAACATATCCACTTGTGGACTTAAAGTCCTTTATGTCGGATATCCAACTAGCGTCACTATACCCTTCAAGTACAACTGGATATCTACCATAGTGCAGTCCAAGGTTTTGGGTTTTACGTAAATACCTCAAAACCCTTACTATTGCCTTCCAGTGTTCATCACCGGGGTTACTAGTATATCTACCTAGCTTGCTAAACTTAAAGGCAATAACAGGCCTAGTACAACTAATTAGATACATCGAGCTTCCAATAATCCTAACGTATTCTACTTGAAATATACACTCTCCATGATTTTTGGTAAGTTGTGCGTTTTTATCTAATGGAGTCCTTGCCTCTTGATAATCATCCTTATTAAATTTCATAAGGATTTTATCAACGTAATGGGATTGGCTTAGCGTAAGACCGTCAGGTCCTCTAATTATTTTAATCCCAAGGATTAATTCGGCCAGCCCCATATCCTTAATGTCAAATTTAGAATTTAACATGTTTTTGGTAGAATTAATCATTAGATTATTGCTACCCACGACAAGTATATCATCCACGTATAAACATAAAATGACATAGCGTCTACCGTGCTCTTCACATAGACGCATTTGTCACTTTTGTTTATTTTAAACACATTAATTAACATTGCATGATCGAACTTTTTGTGCCACTGTTTAGGGGCTTGTTTCAATACATACAATGATTTAATTAATTTACAAACTTTCTTTTCTTGGCCAGGAACATGAAAGCCCTCAGACTGGTCCATATAGATTTCTTCGTCTATATCGCCATTTAGAAAAGCGTTTTTTACATCCATTTGATGAACTTCCGATTTCCGCAATGCGGCAATTGCTAGTATCATCCTAATGGAATTTATTCTCGTCACAAGAGAATACGTGTCAAAGTAATCATGTTCCTCACGTTGCTTGTATCCCTTGATTACAAGTTTGGCCTTGTACTTGTCGATGGAACCGTCAGGTTTCATTTTCCGTTTAAAAAACCACTTGGGCACCAAAGGTTTATTTCCCGGAGGAAGATCAACCAATTCCCATGTGTGATTTTGTAGGATAGAATCCACCTCACTTTTGATGGCTTCTTTCCACATAGGACCTTCAGTAGACGTCACAACTTCCATATAAGTTCGTGGCTCATTTTCTACCAAACATGTTAGAAAATCCGGTTCATTTTCTACCATACATGTTAGAATATTCGAGTCAAATTCTACCAAGTATGTAAGAAAATCCGGTCCGAAGGATTTTTCAACTCTAGCATGTTTGCTACATCTGGGTTCGGCTTCTTCTCCGGACCCCTCGCTAGTATTTTCCATAGCTACGTCAAATGTTCGTTTTGACGTGCTTGATCCTTCGTTGGACTTGCATGGAAATACGTTTTCAAAGAATGATGCATTCCTTGATTCAATCATTGTGTTTTATGTACATCCAGATTATTCGAATCGTACACTAAAAACGATAAGCACTACTATTTTGTGCATATCCAATAAAAATACAATTCACCATTTTTGGACCCATTTTTTATTTTCTTAGGTGTTGGGACAAACACTTTTGCAAGACACCCCCACACTTTTAAATATTGATAGGAAGGCCTTCTACCTTTCCACAACTCGTAGGGAGTTTTATCATATTTTTTCCGGGGCACCTTATTTAAAAGGTAATTGCTTGACAAGACTGCTTCGCCCCATATATTTTGTGGCAGACTCTAACTTACTAGCATCACAATCATCATATCTTTCAATGTGCGATTCTTTGGTTCGACAACACCATTTGATTGAGGTGAATAGGGTGCGGTACGTTCAAGTACTATACCCACGCTCACGCAAAAGTCACCAATTGGTGGTTCATACTCACCACCTCGATCACTTCTAACCGTTTTAATCCGTCGATTAAGTTGGTTTTCCACTTCATTCTTATAAAGAATGAATTT